GCTGAATTCCAAAAAAAGTGGGAAAAAACAATTCCCCTGGTCAGGATTTCTTGAGGGTACTTCTGCTGCCATGAAATATGAGACACGTTCTTATTCTCTTGCTGTGTGCAGGCTGGAGGAGGAAGATGAAGAAGAGGACAACGCGGGGACAGAGGCTCCATTGAAGCAGCAGCAGCAGCAGCAGAACGGGGCGGCGGCTGCCGATCTGTGGGTTCCAGTGGCGCTCGGCCTGGGCCTGCCGCTCACGCCAGACAAGCTGTGCATCGCCGTCTGCGGCCGCGCTGGCGCCTCCAACTTCCTTGATGTGGGTCACATTCACGGCACATTGGGGGAACATGATGTGTTTTAGCGCTCGTATGGAATCGAACAAGGAGCACTGACAAAGGAGCAGTGAGAGCAGGAGTAACACTCGCAGTGCAGTTGCCGGCTGCTTCAAGTCCCTCCAGGTCCACTATGCTGCGGCGGGATTGCCTCTGTGATGAGTCTTTTCCCGTCCATGAACCGGGTTTATGGTTTACTAGTAAGCCTTGAGTATTGAATCTGGAAGATCAATGTATCCCTCTGGCCAGCTGGACAGAGTATGTCGTGATGGCTTACATACAGCAAGGTCAGCAGCGGCCCGCTGAAGAGCGCTCTGTTCTGCTGTGCAGAGCGATGTGCCGCGCGAGCGTGCAGTCGGCCACGCCGTGCTGCAGCGGCGGCTGCTCGGAGTTTAGTCTACCCCTCTGTGTAGCTGGGCCGAATATATGTCGTTATGCACGGTTAGGTCAGCCCGCTGAACATGTGTGGTGTGCTGCTGTGCAGAGCGACGTGCGGCGAGAGCATGCGATCGGCCAAGCAGTGCTGCAGCGGCGGCTGTTCGAGCTGATCGCAGACTACGGCGCGTGCACCAACTGCCTCGGCGGCGCAGGCGGCCGCAAGGATGACACGCTGGCCTATGTCGACCTGCCCATCCACAACCTGCTTTTCGATGGCGCTGAGATGTGGCGACTGGACTACACCGATTTCACACAGGGCGTGGGCACGCTCTGTGTCGAGTGACGCCCCTTGGAGGGTGCATGCAGGGGGTACCAGATCTATCATTATACTTAGTCACCCTGTTGCATGTCTCGCCAGAATCAGCACTTCGCTGCTGTGTGATGGCACTGAGATGTGGCGTCTGGACAACACCGATATCACACCGGGTGTGGACACGCTCTGTGTCGAGTGAACGCCCCTTGGAGAGTTGCATGTCTTCACTGCTATTTGATGGTGCCCACACATGGTGGTCATCTACACCGGTTCATGGTGGGGACTGGGCACGTTGCATGTTGATTGATGTGTCCCAGGGGTGTACACATGTGTAATCTCAAAGGGGCTCTTGAGGGCCTCCTCAGCAGTTTGTTTTCACTTTGTAATGCGCTTGGTGTTGGCAGGGTTTTTATATGTGCCCCACTTTAAGGTTTCGTGCTGAGCGCAAGCATTTACACTAGACATATGTATTTGGTTGGGTCAGCACATCCTGAAGCTGCTGTTGTCGTGTTATTGCTTCAACAACTAGAAACTCCCATGGCAGTCTATTGCCGGGGTGTTGCGCTTGAGATGCAGTGAATTGACAAAGGGCGTGGGCAGGATCTGTCCTGACTCAAGGGCCTGAGTGGCTGCTGAAACTTGGACATGTGCAACTGCCGCATTTGCTAATGTTGAATTTTGCATTGATCAAGTTCTCATGAAGTCTCTGCGGACATGTCCAGATGCTCACACATGTGCCAGATGCATCCGCACTGTCTGCGCTTCAAAAACCATTGTCGGGACTCGTCTGCCCCCTACCATATCTTGCTAGTTTGCAAGCAGTAAGCCAATGCATGGACGCTCTGGGTGGCTGAATTCTGCTCAGCGATTGGTTGACAGCAAAAGTGGTAATGAGAACGCTCATGCAGCCCGAATTGGCCTCCCTTCATACCAGCAAACTTTGTTGCAGTTGTCAAAATTCTACCAAACACGTTTGCAGATAAAAATTTGCTGGTGCCAGTTGATGTCGATCGATCGACACCTTAGCCAACAGTCCCTGGGAAATGTCTGTATGTGCGCATGCACCTAAAGGAAGCTTCTGCTCAGCTTGACAGTATGCACGACTGATACATCTTTGTACACTGGAGGGATCAGTTTATAAATTACAGCAGCTTGCAAGTGCAAATACAGCAGCAGCAGTGCTAGATCATTGGGATTCTGGCAGCTGTGGCAGGCGCACACAAGTCTTATCCGGGAACAGAACCTGTACAAGCAACCGCCATGATAATGGTCAGCATGCTCAGCTGCTCTACATAGTTCGTAAACCACTCGATAATATCGAAGCGTTGTTTGGATGCCCTTGTTTGCAGTCAAACTTCTACGGATATTATAGAGTGCAGCATGATGTCAAGTCCAAAAACAACCCTGAGTCTATACATGGGACGACCAGGACTCTCACAATCTCGCGCTCATGAAACCAGCGATGCAAGGCGGCCATTCCCTCTCTGCATTCTCCTGTCTTGCATGAACAGCTATATTGTCGTATGACCTTTCTGAGCCCAACTCATTTTGTTACACTTGGGTTATTGCAGAAGGCCTGACTCTGTGCTCACCTCAGCGTCTGCCATCGAGCCCTGCAAGCCATCCCTCTGCACCTTGTCCACCGCCTTGCTTAGAACTCCCAGCGCACTTCTGTACACCGGGTGTTCTTCATGAGGCGGCTGGACAGCTGGCGACGCCCTGCAGGGATCAGGCAGGCTCTGTTGGAACAAGCAACACTATCTCGTTGTGTCCTCTGTGATGTATGATAATACTCTGTGGAAGTGTTGTCCAGGTAAACATTGGCGAGTGGAAAGCAGGGATTTCTGGCAATGAGAGGTTTTCTGAGCAGCAGTTAACTCTTCAACCCTCCTCCCAGTACATAGACCAGAAATGGTTGAATTCTCCCCTACCATATTCTGACCAGGTACATTCCCAGTGTACGTTGCCCTTAAGAAAAGGCCCCTACCAAACGTGACTGATTCCAATCGGGCATCTACTAAAGTGACCTGTTACAGCATACCTGAAGGCTATCTCGATGGCGGCTCGGCAAGCGGCTTCATCGGCCCCGAATCGCATTGCGGCTAGCAGATGGCCGAACATCTCATCATGCATGTTGGCCTCTGACTGGCCCCCACAAGCACACACATTAGCGTTTCTAGTAGGGTAGTTAACTCACTAGGGGTAACTCAGAAGGGATAACTTCCCTAATTTCTCGTGTCTGTTGTGCTGAGGCAGCCCCTTCTCTTCCTGGCGCTCGCACGTCCTTGACTGTTTGCTCTGCATCTCCTGATCTCTTATGCATCAGTCCCCAACAAACACATGCCTTGAACAGGGATGTAACTAAAGAAGCTGCTGAAGCCACAGTCTGCAAGCAGGGGTGCATTACTGTTGCCTTGATGCCACTATTGCCACTATTGCCTGCCACTCAGTTGGCTGTGGAGCCATGTCAAAGAAGGAACCAGTCACCCTCAAACAAATACTTCTTCGGTCGCAAATGCCGCGCGTTATGAGTTGCGGGGAATGCCGTGAAAACTGCCAGTGATAATGTGTGTGGTTCTGGTAGCTCACCAAAAATGCAGAGGTGATCAACTGCTTCTGTCGCAGGCTCAGGCCTGGGTTGCTGTAGACATCACCATATGCATGCACCCTGCCAGCAGGCACTCTCTCTCATTGAATGGCACATTATCAATGACTTTGGAGGAAGACCCCCTTCTTCTGCCATGCAAGATTGGCATTGCAAGAATATAACATGCAGCTGGCTGAGGATGTACATTGTCTGTGGCTTTCACCTGATCCACTCTGCCAGGACGCCATCGATTGTGTACAGCCGGTTCAATACTTTGCTGACCACACCATTATAGACGAGGCTGAAGGCATTGCCTGGCGGGCCCCCTGCCTTGCCAGGCACATCCTCTCCCAGAACTCCTGCCTTTTTTAGTGTTGCAGTGGCTGCGAGGCAGGGCGCGTACCCTGCCAGCCTGTACACCCCACGTTCCGCCCTCAGCAGCACTTCTTCTCCCTAGAATATAGAGCAGCATTTCTCGTGTCAGCAGATTGCCACGCGGCGTGCTTCACGGTTTGGTGCTCATTGTCTCACATCACCATAGCACTGTGACTTGGCACTTTGCACTGTATCCCAGACAACGACTGTTGGAACGACCACGTGGTCATGAAAGCGTTGTCACCAATGCAATGCATTACGATCTGCTTCGTGGAATATTCGATGTTACTTACACGCTCATGTGCCGAATGCATCCTCGCAGCTCCGCTGCAGAACTGCCAGCTTCAAGGCAAACTTTTCCAAGGGCGGGGAGCTGATCCCATTGGTGGAAGCTTGCTGTCATAAATAAGCGAATGAGGCCCTCATCCTTGGCGGACAGTGGCATCCTGTCTAGTATCTCCAATGCGATCTACTACAGCTACCAAGGAACTTACGTATTGCAGTCACAGTTCGCTTTCCCTTGGTTTCGATTGATAGGGAGTATCAATTATACAGCTGCACGTGCACATATTTGTGTTTAAAGATGACAGGAATGATCACACGATAATTGTGTCCAGTTAAACCACTCGGTCAAGCTGGTGCAGAGACCTGGAGGACCACACTCGCATGGCGCTGTCCGAGGATGGTTCTTGGATCGGCTCTCTGGGTAGACTTGCAGGTGGGAATCTGGGAGAACCCTGACGTGTTAAAATCTTTGCATCAACGCGTAATAGCAGCTTATTTAATGTCCAATGGCCATTCACAGCCCTCGAAGCATTCAGGTGTCGGAACCAGATCCTCTTAGTCCGTGTAAAGAGTCCTTAATGAAACCTGCACATCTTAGTGATAAGTAACTTGGAAACTCCTGTAGGCAGCAGAACTATTGCAGAGAGAGTCACATTGGGTTACCTCGACAAGAAAATTGTTGTGCGTTTTCTGACGCTTGAACGCGTATATAATGTATAGATTCGGCTCAATCGACAGTTAAGGACCTATAGCTCAGTGGTAGAGCAATCGGCTGCAGTCCGATAGGTCAGTGGTTCAACTCCGCTTGGGTCCTCGTTTTGTTTTTCGTCTTTTTGGTCTCTCTCCTTTTCCAAGGCAGGTAGAACACAAGAGTGCCAGCGATATACAGTTCAAGGGATTGCACGGCCACTGAATCAGCAGGTCGCCATTCGCTTTGGAGAATCTGACTTACTCCATGGATGATGCTCGGCCCATCCGGATATCATGCATATATGCTTCTGCAAGTCTTCTCTGCAATGAGGACTGATCTTCATATGAAAAGCACCTCAGGCGAATTAGAAAGTTAAGATTTCTTGGGAAAAAACCAAAGTTATTTACAATGAAGGGCCACACTTGTCACAATTGTCATTCCCGCCCGGACAGTACCGCGCCATCTTCAGGTTGCTGAGCCAGTGGGGAAACCACATATTTCACAGTAAAGGATACGGATTCATGATCATCGGCAACAAGCAGCCTCTCAGACATGTGCAGAGCGAACTGCATGGCAAAATGTTTCCACCCCTGTTCTTGGGCATGACCACTGGTGGCACATTTCAGGCTCCACTCTCCTAGCAACAAATGGCAATGCCAAGGGCAGCAGCAGTCACTGACAATCAAGGCTCTCAAGAGCACCGATAGGAGCACATCAAATGAATTAATGGCGTAGATCATTGGGAAGCGAGCAGCCTAAAAAGGCTGCTCCGCGCGGTCACTGTAGAATTTGCCGCTGCCGCCAGCTGGCGCATGCAGGGCCAGCCACACGGGCGTGTCCGCCCCTTGCTCGGTCGTCTTATGCCCCCGGAAAGATGACATGTCGGTGGCGACATACCTGCAGAAAGCACCCCAGTCCTTCACCGTGACACATCCATTGTTTTCAGTGCATTTTACAAATTGTTAGGGAGAGGGGGAAGGCATTCTCCTCTCAATATTTCATGGAAATTTCTGCATGTTGATCATAGATAAGAGCTCCCCCCCTTGACCATGGGGAATGAGCAGTCCTCAACGCAACTTCCTCCCAGTCAGAGGTAAGCAGCAACGTATGCATGGCTAGATCTTGTTATTAGTACAAGAAGGTGGAGACAAATCTCGCTCACCCCGGGCAGCAGGCATAGACAGCTACACCGCGCGGTTTGAGCTGCTCTGCCAACACTCGGCTGTAAGTGGCCTCGCACAGCTTGCTCACGCCATACATGCTTCCAGGCCAGCCCTCCTTCTGGTAGCTGCGCCCACAACAAGCCTTCCTCTCATTTTTTTTGGATTGCAATGAGATAGATCCTCGACCCAATACCACGCATTATACAGCATACTACCATTGGCGGCGCCATCCAAGAGCCTCTTCTCTCAATGCTTTCTGATGTCCATACTGCAGGGGCATGGTCCTTCTTGGCCATGAAGACTTCAAGAAGTGAAGCGATATGGAAGGCCTGAAAAGTTCTGTCCGGGCAGCCAGAAAGACCAAAAATTAATTGCATGCGACCTTCGTGTGTTCTGGGAAACGCAGAAGACCTAGACTCTACAAGGAGAGCCCCACTTTAAGTTTCTGTGTTACTGCAAGACATTTTTGAACTATACATGTCTAAACAGCCTTTGATGAAGGGGGTGAGGCTTACCTCTCCAATGCACCTGGCTTTCTCAGCTGGAAACACGTCGTTCATTCATTCATTCTTTCATTCACTCCTTCATTTTTAAACAGAGCCCCACCTGCCATTGGCTACAGCCTGCAGGAACTCCTCGCTCAGTTTGGCAACGTCCTCAGCGCTGGCCGCCTTCTCGAAGCGCGTGCGGAGCTCCGGGCTGCGCAGGATGCTGAGCTTGCCCGCGAGCGAGCACACGTTCACGATGCGGCCGCCCTCCGGCAGGAGGCGTTCCAGCCGCTCGCAGACCGCGCGCGTGCCGGAGAAATTGGTCGCCATCGTGTTGCGCGCCTCCTCCGCGCCGAAAATGTTGCCCTTGTAGGCAATGCCTGCACATGTTAGGGGATCCTAAATATAAGAGCAAATAGAAGTTATATTAATAGTTATGATGTTGATAGTAATTATATTTAGTAACCCCTGCACGTATGCATGCAAGGTTCAGGGTCCGGTCAGCGAGTTCAGCTGAGTTGTCACACGAGCCTCTTTCGCGCCAGCTCAGTTGCCTTTTCTAGGCAATGCTTGCGAGCATGCAATTTCTCAAATGCATGAGATATGGCGCAAACTAGCTGTCTGAGGGTTGCGAGGGAGGCAATGAAGTGTGTCGACACTCCACTAACCCCCGATCCCGAACCCCAAACGCCAGCCCCTAATGCAATCTTGGTGTGTTTCTCCTCTGCGCCAAATATGTTGACTTGTATGCTTGAACGGATGCATGCGTGCAAAATCTGATCGTTCACCCAGCAGCACTCCAGCCGCTAGAAGGATTGCGCGCACAAGCCGGCAAGTCCAAGAATGCCTTGAGCTGTTGCCAGCCCCCTCCTATGACAATTTCTCAATGTCAAAATGCTGCTTCCAGAAGCATACCTGCATTGTTGACTAGGATGTCCACAGTTTGTAAATCTTGTTCGGCCCATTTGCCAAACTCATCGACAGACGCAGGGTCCGCTATGTCGAGCTGCCTGAAGATGACATCGCTAGTACCTGCCCAGCATGCCATGACACTTCATGTCAGAACGCCTTTTCAAAAGAGCTCACCAGAGGGATCTGTTATGTTCTACAGCACTCCGAGTGTCTCTTAAGTGCTGCTCTCACCTTTGCACCAAGTTTGTGCCACCAACTGTACATTGCATCCAACAGTGCAGAAAATACTGACGCAGTCACTAACATGGGCTTTCTATCATGAGCTTGGCCATCAGCTGCTCACCTGTACTCTCTGAAACCTTCTTTGCGGCCTCTGTACCTAAGTCCTCTGCACCACACCACACAATCAACTTAGAGCCTTTTGTGGTGAAGGCATGCATCACCTGACATCAAGGTAGGAACAGGAAGTCACTGTGCACTCAGACGCACAACAAGTCTTGATGCCGCAGGACAATTCTGGATAGGACGTACTGTTGCGAGCTGTGAGCACAACGCGCAGGCCCGCTTGAGCTAGCTGCCGAGCAATCTCATACCCAATACCCTTATTAGCTGCAATACGTGGGCAGATACGCGTCAAGACTCTCACATCCTATTGAAGCTGGGTCCCTGTGTGGTCTTGCAAGCAGGTAGCAGGTACCCCAGATTGCTGAAGAAATCTAAACAAAGTCGCTGGTCTCGCAAAGAGGAGTCCTTTGTGGGAACGGTGTCGGGTGCTGATGCTCACCACCACTGACCACAGCGACTTTCTTGCTAGTTTCAGAAACGTTTGCTGCCATGCTGAGGGTTCGGACTCTGTTTCCTGGCGAACGACTTTCGAGAGTCTGTGATCTTCTTGTTGTCCCACCACTTAGATGCGTCTTTGGTCGTCGCCCTAGCGATGTAGGACGGAAGAAGTCTGCCCTGTGTTGTCACCCATCAGCAACCAGATCATCTCTCAGGCCAGACTTGCAATATAGTACAAAAGGTCATACCACCAGAACAGAGCTTGTCTACAACAATATCCATAACTATCAAGTAGGCAGACGGACGTTCAAGTGAAAGTTGGACTTATTCATCCGTTCAATACATGCCAAAGTTCTGCGGCAGTACCTGTAGCAGGGCCTGCTCTGCGCTGCAACCTGATAACAAACGCGCGTGGCACACCGTAGCATTTGTTTGCCTGGCTTCACCTGGCCACGATGTCAACAAGAGCTTGGGTGATCTCCGCACCAAAAGGAGCACGTCTCTCTTGGCTCTAATTTTGGCACCGCGCCGGGCAGGGAACGCCAGCCGAGACATCCGCATGGTCACACCCCCGTGACAAGCCACATGATCAACTGTGCGCAGGTCTCGGCCGATGAAATCCGATTGGAACTCGCGTACGCCTTGCAAGTTGGTAATTGTAGCAACATACACTGGGTCACTGTTTGCATGAGCTGCCCGGGCTCATTGTATACCTAAGAGTCTCACCAGGAATAAAGTGTATAACCCTGGACTTGTGTGCTATTGCCTCCAAAGGTATCATTCATAGGTGGCTAAGTGCTTCCAAGTCAGAAAAGCTACTACTTGGAGGGTGTCCACGGCGCTGTGTTGAAAGGTACGTTTCTGAGGAAGGCGCTTAAGGCGAGATTTAGCTTGGGCAGGCAAGCAACACGGTCGGCCGTTTTTCCGTACACCCTAATGCAGTGTTCGTCGTATTCGTTCTCAGAGCGCTATTTCGAGTGCATATGCCAAACGCCAGACCTGCGCAGCTCGCACTTCAAATCGCGTCGTTAAAGCAGCAGAGCGCTGTAGATGGGAGGGGCAGGGATGTCGGGTTCTTTGCTTCATATTGGAGCATCACCAGCTCACGATGGGTCAGGAAATATGATGATAAATGTACAGGATGTATGTTTGGCATTGTGAGGAAGCTACCGTGCTGCTTTTTCTTGTAAGAACTTGGGTGCGGGTTTCATCGAAGGATTCTTCTTGCTCGAATGCCGAGACATTGCAGTTTCTCAAGCTATTCCAATGCATGGCATAAGGAGTGCTCGTTCAGTGGTTGCGGCATCCCTGTCGGGCGTCCTTTGTTTTGGGAACTTTCCAAACCCTAGTTAGCCCCAAAAGTAGCCTTTCTGAGGTGATTGAACAGGAGTGGGTGACCACAAAGAGTACCATCTAAAGCGTACTCGCCTTATTGAGCTTCTCAATCCCTTCCTATGGAATTCTTTGCTTGGCTCCAAGAGAGCAGGCTGGAGGTAAATATCACACAAGCAGCTGGATGCTGACAGGCGCAAGCTTCTGCAGGTGGTGATAAGCGAGGTACCCAGCTGGTGCACATGCTGGCGCATCACCAGTCGGTGTGGCAGTAATGCTGCAGTGGGAGCGCCCTCTGCACACAGTCCACACATCTGAGCCAGCTTGCGGCACATTTCCAGCACTCTTGCAGCCATCCTGCGCCTCTGCTGCGAGGTGGAGATGGCCTGCGCATAGGAACTTCAACTTAATGGGAAATCTTTCTTCCTGTCTTGGGGCAGGTGGG